GTGTGTGCCTGTGAATATATATATATATATATATATATATATATATATATATATATATCAGTATGAAAGGTGAACATGAAGTGACTCTTGCTTTTTGGTTGTAGTTTTGGTTGCTTGCTAAGATTGAACACTGTGACTCACACATACCAGGCAGGGAGAACTTCTTTACCACTAGGCTGTAGACTCACCACCATCACATTTTCTCTTCTTTCTTTCCTGTTTTTTTATTGTTGTTTACTATGCACACCTGGATGGCAAGGAACTCTCTATGTGGACTGAGATGACCTCGTTTCATATACATCAGCCTCCCTCTGCATCCTTGGTGCTAAGATTAAGGGGATGTGCCACCACACACAGCCTAAGGGTCTTATTTAAGATGATAGCAGCAAGACTGCTTTGTTCATTCATTGTGGTAAAATAGTCACAAACTACAAAAACTACAATGATTTATTTCTTGGTCACAGGAAATTGGAATCTGCATGACTCTCTAGGCAGAGGTTCACCATATGTTGGCATAGCATGCTAACATGGACTCTTACAACTACTCACAAAGGGAGAACAGGGACCATGGTTCTGGCTGTTAGGTGCTTTTATGGAGGGTTGACATTCTACTCACATCCAAATGGTCCACATTCCTGGACACAGGAAGTTGCTTGGTGTGCTTGATTACTATAAAGTAAGAATAAGAGGGAACTAGAAACAATTAGTATTTCCTGTCCATCAAACCAATTAAGGTATCAGAAAACTGAGAGTCAACTTCCATAAATGATTGACTACCTGTTGGCAGTAGAAATCAGTATCAGAATTGAGGAAGGTATGAAATAGAGCTAGTGCCAAATACATTTTTGAAACAAGTGGTACCAAATATCGTTCCTGAAATGCTAAAGGGAATTCCTAGCAAGCTCCTAGCAAGCTTCTTCCGGCACAAAAAAAAAAGGACACTTGTGTTTTCTAAGACAGTTTGATTTTAAAAGGAAAGCAGACAATTAGGGTCAGCCCTTAGGAAGACAAAGAATTGTTAGGAAGAGAAGAGAAACAGATTAGTATGCAACTGTGAAATCACAAGACAAGATGGGAAGGAGTTTCAAAAGCATTAACTGAATTAAGTGTGTTGAGATGCAAAAAGAGCTGATTCTTCCCCAACACTGCCTGCCCTCTCTTCTGTGGCATCAAGGCTCTCCTCTGGCCTCCGGTGAAGCCCAAGATTGTCTAAAAGAGAATCAAAAACTTCATCCAGTATTCTTCAGGGTGATTATGTCAAAATTAAGCTCAACTTGTGGGAACCCAGAGGTCTCCACACCAGGGTATGGAGAATATTCAAGAGCCACATCCTGATGCCCAACAGAGTTACAGGAACAACAAGAAAAACAGGGACCTAGAGCCCAGCATCTGCTTGAACTTCTTGGTTGGTCCACAAGGTCAAGGAGCAGGAAGTGCTGATGTGCAACAAATCTCACTGTGTTGAGATCTGTCACAACATTTCTTCCAAGAACTGAAAAATCATCATTGAAAGAGCTTTGCAAACGAACATTAGAGTCATCAATGCCAGGGTACGAAGCAAAGAAAATGGATACAAGATTCACGCAATGCTTTATTTGTGTTTAAATAAAACATCAATGGGAGAGGGTGAGGTAGGGGTAGGTGGGATGGAGGGAGGGAGGGAGGGAGGGAGAGGGTAAGACAGACAGAAGGAGATAAAAAGAGAAGAGAGAAGAATTAGGAAGTTACTGTCACTTGTCTCTCAAGCATTTGTGTTACATCGTAGCTACCTATCTCTATACATGGAGTGGGGTGGAAGCTCAGGGAAGGATAAGAAAAGGGTCTCCCTTAACAATCAGTTAATGTATGTTTCTAACATACATATTGAGAAATAGCATTGAGCTTTGTCTCACGTCTCAGTAACTTTGTGAACTGGTGGGTTTTCATTCCCATTTTACAGAAGGGCTACAGAGGTTCAGAGTCAGCAAGATCATTAATTAGAAAAGAACTATGTTAAAATCCTAATCTATCTTAGTCCTATACTATCAATTTCCATTGCATACTGTGAAGTCCCTGTGTTTTCTTTACTTTTATGATTTGAAATGTCTTTATTGTCTATCTGTCTGTCTGTCTGTCTTTCATCTATCTTTTAGTCAGAAGTTGAACAGTTTAACATATTATTGTATGCATTTTTCAGAAAGGTATTCGCCATTTTTCTCAATAAATATGTTAGAAACATACGTTAAATACCTCTTTTAAAATAAAGCATCGCAAAAGAGCCAGCATATTCGCAATCTCAAAATTCAAAAATCAAATGGCCACAATTTTAGCTAGCTAAAAAGTCCCCAAAATACATTAAATTATCATCACTCCTTATCTTTGAATGGCAAGTACACGTTTTCATCTTGTTCCTTCTCTGTTTGCACATTCTACAACAAGGACATGTTGCTCTTGTAATTGTAACCCCTTCTTACAATAAATATAACCACTGTTCACATTTTTTTACACAGTAGCGATAAACATCAGATTAAAACAGCATTCCCATTTGAACTGTTGAGACAACTTAGCAAATGAGTTTTCCCGTGTGTCTTTAATTTATAATTGCCTCAGTGTATTGCTCCTGAGTTCTTCAGCTTGAGTTGCCCTGAGCCCCAGAGGATCACCATCCCTACTGCACAACAAAACAGAACAAAACAAACAAAACACGCAGAGGATCAGAAATCTTTGGATCTCTTTTGAGTTACCGGAGATGAATGAGAAACAAAAAGGCTGGCAGCCAATGGATTTCGATTGGGTGTAGTCAGGGCTTGTGTGAGATCTCTCAGGGAACCCTGGATTTATCTACGGACGCTCCGGTTGCCTAGTTACCAGAGCCATTTTCCGTAAGCTCCTCCTCCTCCTTCTAGACCACGCCCACTTCCTCTTTCCGCCCATTGACAGGGGGCGGGGAGCAAGGAAGTCTTCAGCCGCTCAGAAGCCCGGAACGTGGGTCGTCAGCCTCTGATTGGAGCAGCGCGTTGTAGGCGGTTCCGAGGGCGGGCCTTCCGAGCTGCGGGAACGTCAGCACGTCGACGCGGGGCTTTTCTCTGGAGTCCCGCTAACGCCGCTCCGGTGTTCCTGAGCCTGTGTTCGGGCGGGCAGTCCTGGGGCGGCGGGCCGACGCCGTTAGGGGCCGCACCTGGGGTCGGTCCCGGTCACAGCCGTCCCCGCCTGTCCTCCTGGCAGGTCTACCCCAGGGGAGCCTGGAGACGTGGGGCCCCTGAGCCGGGCCGCGGAGCTCGGGGCCCTTCCCCGCCCAGGGATCGGATGGGAGGTGGCGGGAGGAGAGACCTGGGATGTTCAGTCTGATGGCCAACTGCTGCAACTTGTTCAAGCGGTGGCGAGAGCCTGTCAGGTAGGCTGGGGCCGGGCCCTCTGCCCAGAGGGATGGGGACGACCGCGCCCCTGGGCCGGGCCGGGCGTCGCCTCTTCCCCTCGGCTTGGGAGGAGTCGGCCAGGTCTGGGGGATGCCACCCTTTCCCATGGACCATTCCTGGAACGAGAGCCTGCACGGGTGCCCCCCTCTTGTCTGTCTGACTAAGTTGTGGTCTACAGACTATACATATCTTTCAGATTGTTTTACATTTCTTAGAAAGACGCGCGTCTGTGTGGATAGAAAAAGAAGGGAGAGACTTTGCCTGCTGTGGTTTTCTTGGAAACCTTGTGTAATGGAAAAGTTTTTAAAGAGAGGCATGAAGTACACTTTTCCTAATCAACACACCCCGTTGTCGCTCTTCCCACCTCTTCTCTCTTGTACACATCTGAAAACAACCACACAATATTTTGTTTGGCTATTTGGCTCAACTGCTCACTAATTATATGATCCAACCGCATTTGGCCCATCTTCCTTATTTATTAAATGAGATGATAACATCTGTGCCTAAGAGGTGTTGGATTCAATTAGAGTGTGAGAAGGGTAGTGTTTTCTTTGCTGTAATTTAGCTGCTGTTTTCATGTACACTCTAGGATAACCTAATTGAAAGGTCTCTTGCTTCATGATTCATCTTGCATTAGTACATGTGTTAAGGTTCAGTGCGTGTTCCTTGCTTGTTCATCATTCAATGAACACTGTCAAGAAAGTGACTTGTGTCAGGCACCGTGTTTGGATGGAGTCAGTTAAGTTAATGGTTCTGAAACCTAGAAGCCTGAACTACACAGTGTGTTTCTCTTTATAACTATTGACTTTTTTTTTTCTTTTTTAAAGTTCTGCTTTGGAATTAGAAAAATTTCACAAGACAAATTTAGCAAAGTGTTTTGTTTTGCTTTTACTTCAAACTCCACAAATACACACTTGTCATAAAGATGAACAGCAGTTCATTAAAGAATGCAATTGAGAAGCAACACTTTGCATATTTATTGGGAAACACATATCTTTATTTGGAAATGAAATTTGCTTTAAACAAAACAAGACTTTTGGCATTCTTTCCCCTTTATTGACTCTGGGTTTGAATGTTTTAAGTGTAAGTTATAGGATCACCTCTCAGAACCGAAGGTGTGCTCCGCACTGTGTGCTCTCAGTCATTGACTGTAATCCTATGCTGGCTGATTTCAGAGCTGATTTCAGAGATGTGAAAGACAGGACATATGCCCCTTCATACTTGCCTCTGCTTACTTTTAAAGAATGAAGTTTTTAGGAGAGTATTAGAGCGTGAATAGAATTAGCTCTTTGCTTTTATGACTTACACTATTCATAAAAAAAATGCTTCCACTATACTTAGGTTCTTCTGTTCATTTTTAAAAGTTTTAGATATGCTGCCTGATGTTGAGATTCCTTCTCTATTTTCTACAAATATATTTGCAAATGTGAGGGGAGGGTTTAATGATTATTAATATCAGAAAATGCTCAGAGGTTATGTTGGCTGTCTAGTAGATTCCGAACTCTTCACATGGAAGTTCTTTCATCAAGCTCACTTACTCGTTTGTCTGATGGTAACCCACAAGCCATTGAGTATATTAGATTTGTTTGCTATGTACCAGGCAGGAGGCATTAAGGCACCAGTCTGGGTTAGTAATGAGGACCAGGAATGCAGCCAGTTTTCAAACCATACTTGCCATACAAGTCAGAACACGAATTATGCTTTCAAGCCATGTAAATCAATCTTGAATTGATTATAGTACTAGACCTACAGACAAGTAACCTGCCCCAATAGAAGTCATATAGTACAGTGCTAGATTTTTTTAAATTTTTATTTTGAGATATAGTACAATGATGAAAACAAAACAAAAAACAGAAAATCAGTTTAATACTGTTAACTAAAATGTGTACTGTATTACAAGCTCACCTGCTTGTAATAATTTTTAATTTGGGGTGTGTGTTCCTGTGTGTGTGTGTGTGTGTGTGTGTGTGTGTGTGTGCATGCTGTGATTCACCTTTTCAGTCTGTAAGAGTTGCCATCTTTGAGGCCACTTTGAACAGTACTGCTTAGGGATTTTATGGTTGAGGTTATAGTTGTTTGCAGAATACTCCTCAATTTGCCTTTTTTTTGGGGGGGGGGGGATTGAGACAGGGTTTCTCTGTGGCTTTGGAGGCTGTCCTGGAACTAGCTAGCTCTTGTAGACCAGACTGGTCTGGAACTCACAGAGATCCTCCTGCGTCTGCCTCCCTAGTGCTGGGATTAAAGGTGTTCACCACCAAACAGCCTCAATTTGCTTCGTAATTCCTTGTAATTTGAGTATGGTGGTACATGTGGAGGAAGAATGGTACAGAGACAGTAAGCTGTTCATCATAGGCAAGCGCTCTACATTAGACATTACAGTAATCATATCAAGGGCTGTGTAGCTCCAGTGTGTTTTATTTCTGGGAGGTTAATCTTGACCACTTGGGTAATGTGTTGTGTTTCTTCAGATTTCTCAGTATAGTGCTTGAGTTTAGTAGATTGGCATTGGAATCTTAGAAGTCTTAGCATTTTCCCAAGTCCAAGTATTTGGTTCCTTCAATCTCAAGGCATTTTAAGAAAGAAAACCTGTGCAAGTATTTGAATCATGGCTGCTGAAATTACTTTTCTCATTGTTGCCACCAAAACCTGCAGGAGCAAATTATGACAAAAAGGATTTATGCGGACCTCAGGTTTAAGAAAACACTGTCCATTGCATCGGGAAGGCAATCAGAGTTGTTGGGGGGCATCTGCAGAAGGGACTCAGTAGTCTGTGAATGCTGAAGTTCAGCTGCTTTTCTCTTTTACCTTTTTATTTAGTCTGCAGGGCTCCATTCATACTCAGCATGGGGCTTCCCTCCTCTGTTAAATCTCCTTGGACACCCTCACAGACACTCCCAGTGGTGTGTCTCCTAGGTGATTCCAAATCCAGTCCAACTGACAGTAAAGAATTACCATCACAATGGCATCAAGCTTTCACTCAGCAAACTACCTGCCTCCAACCCTGAGTGTATAGGAATTTATCCTCCTGTGCTGATAGCTTATGTTTATCAGGGTATAGCTTTGCCTTTTCTTCCTATGTTGCTGAAAGACATGTCTTTCCAAGGTTAATTCCTAAGCCTGTCTTAGGCCTGTGCTCTGTATTCCATTTCTTTGGTTTAGTTGTTCTACCCTCAAACAGTTTTTAATTACTTAGGATCAGTATACTTTATATATACCACAGAGGGGGCTTGTGGGATATAAGAATAAACTTGTGTTGTTTTTACTAGGAAAAACAGAAGTTGCTTCACCTGTATTTCATGTTAGCTGATTTTGTCTTTCTCTTACCAAAATCAGAAGTGAAGAGTAATCCTGAATGCTGAATTATGTTTTTGTTCTCCTAGGTCCTGGTGGGCTCCCTGTTTAATAGAATAATTCTCACATATTTGTAAGGGGCACTTTCAGAGACCCCTAGTGATGCCTAAAACTGAGTAATAACAAGCTCTGTATAATCTATATACTATACTACACACACACACACACACACACACACACACACACACACACACACACTCCAGCCAACCAGCGGTAAGCTTTGACTTGTAGATTTGGCACAGTAAGACCTTAACAGTTATAACTAAAAATAAAATTGATTATAGCGATGTAACGTAAGAATATGGCCAGAATGGATACCCCGAGTTGAGGGCCTCTATTAAGTAACATGTGGCTAACTTGAACAAAATCAGTCAGGTAACTGATAACTAATGGATAAGTAGCATATACAGCATGGCTGTGCTGAATAAATGCATGATGTAATTCACGTAAGTCACACCCAGACACAGCAGAGGAGGTGATGACTTTCACTGTCCTAGTGGGACCCACAGTAGAGAAGTTAGGGCTCCATTGTAGAACTTCGTGTAACTTTAGAGCACAGTTAGTCACATGCTGTGGTTTGATTGAATGTCCCACAGTGGTCTACAAGTTAAAGGTTTCTTCCCTAACATGATGGGATTGGAAGGTAGTCAAATTCTAGAGATGGAGCCTAGTGGAAGAAGGTTAGGTCACTAGGGATATGACCTCGAAGGAAATTGTTGGACCCAAGCCCCTCTCCTCTTTCTGCTCTCCTAGCTTACATTTAAGAGATTGACTCTGCATGGGCTCCCATGTAATGTGTTGCCTTTCTATAATAAGGACTTAGAGGGTGCTTTTACTTCAAGGTACTGACTATTTGGGGCTTCAGATACCCTGGGTAAGTAAAAGTGGGGGAAAAGTATGGTGTCTCAGTGTCTTAGTTAGGGTTTCCGTTGCTGCAGTGAGACACCATGACCAAAGAGCAAAGTTGGGGAGAAAAGGGTTTATTAAGCTTATATACTTCAGTATTGCTGTTCATCACTGAAGGAAGTCAAGACAGGAACTCAAAACAGGGTAGGATCCTGGAAACAGGAGCTGATGAAGAGGCCATGGAAGGGAGCTGCTTACTGGTTTGCTTCCCCGGGCCCTCTCAGCCCACCTTCTTATAGAAGGCACCATCTACCATGGGCTGGGCCCGCCCTCAATATCACTAAATGAGAAAATGCCTTACATCTGGATCTCATGGAGGCATTTCCTCAACTGATGCTCCTTCCTCTCTGATGGACCCTAGCTTGTGTCAAGTTGACACACAAAACCAGCCAGTACACTCTGCCTTCCTTTTGTGTTTGTTGGAGTCTGTACTTTACAGCTGTAGGCTGCTGCTCTTCAGGGCTGGAAAGAGATGGGTGGGTTCAGAAGAAGAGATGCATGTGATTTTATTGGTATCTAAAGACATTTACATACCTTATGCTTTCTGTGATTCCAGTGTCAAGAAATGCCCACTTAAAAGTCAGAAAAGTAAGACTAATTTAACTGAAAGCATCTTGAAAACAAAGTTATATAAAATAACAAACAACTGTTATTTTAAATCAGAAATTGGAGTATTTGTGTTAGCCCCTCAAGATTTTTCAGATATTGCCCTTTAGTATCA